AGACATATTGTCAGGAGGGACCAGTTGCTGGAGAAGGATGTCATGTTTGGTAAGGTGGAGGGTCAGAGAAAAAGAGGAAGACCCCCAACGAGATGTATTGGCCAAGTGGCAGCATCGATGGACTCAAGCGTGACAACATTTGTGAGGTTGGCCCAGGATCTGGGGCAGTGTTTTGTTCTGCTCCGCATAAGGTTGCTATGAGTCAGTACCGACTCGATGGCACCTAACAACAACAACAACAACAACTATCGGTAAAGGCAGAAAATAAAGCATAACTTTGCTGTTGTGTTGTTACGTGCCTGCAAGGCAGCTCTGACTCAATACATACTTATGCTCAACAGAACAAAACACTGCCCTATCCTGAGCCATCCTCACAACCATTGTTAGGCTTGAGCCCATTGCTGCTGCCACTGTGCCAATCCATCTCATTGGGGGTCTTCCTCTTTTTGCTGACTCTCTACTTTAACTAGTCCTTTTACACAAACTAGTCTCTCCTGATGATACGTCCAAAGTATGAGAAACGAAGTCTCGCCATCCTGGCTTCTAAGGAGTACTCTGGCTGTACTTCTTCCAAAACAGATTTGTTTGTTCTTCTGGCAGTCCATGGTACTTCAATATTCTCCAGCACCATAACTCAAATGTACCAATTTTTCTACGGTCTTCCTTATTCATTGTCCAACTTTCACATGTATAAGAGGCTACTGAAAATACCATAGCTTGGGTCAGGCGCACCCTTAGTCCTCAAACTGACATCTTTGCTGTTGAACACTTTAGAGAGATTTTGTGTAGCAGATATGCTTAATATAATATGTCATTTGATTTCCTGACTGCTGCTTCCAAGAGTATTGATAGTGGATCCTAGCAAAAGAAGTCTTGCACAACTTCAATCTTTTCTCCATTTATCATGATGCTATTTTTTTGGTTCAGTGGTGAGGATACTTATTTTCTTTAAATTGAGGTACAATCCATACTGACTGCTGTGGACTTTGATCTCCATCAGTAAGTATTTTAAGACCTCTTTGCTTCAGCAAGCAAGATTCTATCATCTGCATATCATAGGTTGTTAATGAATGTTCCTCCAAGTCTGATGCCTTATTTTTCTTCAGATAATATAAATTCTTGGATTATTTGTTCAGCACACAGATTGAATAAGTATGGTGAAATGATACAATCCTGAGTCACCCCTTTCCTGATTTTAAATCAGTCCATATCCCTCTGTTCTGTCTGAATGATTGCTTCTTGGTCTATGTAGCATTTCCTCATGAACAAAATTAAGTGTTCTGGCATACCCATTCTTCACAATGTAACCCATAGATTGTCACGATCCACACAATCAAAAGCCTTTGCATATTCAATAAAGCATAGGTAAACATCTTTCTGGTATTCTTTGCTTTCAATCAAGATTCATCTGATGTCATCAATGATACTCATCATTCCATGTCCTCTTCTGAATCCATCTTGAACCCTGGCAGTTACCTGTAGCAGCAGTTGTTGAATTATCTTTAGCAAAATTTTACTTGCATGTGATCTTAATGATATTGTTCAATGATATATACATTCTATTGGGTCACCTCTCTTTGGGATATGGGCACAAATATGGATCTCTTCCAATCAGTTGGCAAGGTGACTGTCTTCCATATTTCTTGGGATACACGAGTGAGTGCTGCATTAGTTGGTTAAAATATTTCAATTTGCATTCCATCAATTCCTAGAGCCTTGTGCTTTGACTCTTGCGCAAATGCTACCTCTTAAATTACAAATGCTTTTTTAAACATTTTTTTTCCTGTTCAGTGCCATCAAAGAATGCAATTATACACATGGACCTCACCAGATGGAATACACAGGAATCAAATTAACTACTCTGTGGGTTAAGAAGATGAAAAAGCTCAATATCATCAGCCCAAACAGGGCCAGGTGCAGATAGGGAGCAGACCATCAGTGGCTTACATGCAAGTTCAGGCTGAAGCAGAAAAAAATTAAAACAAGTCCATGAGAGCCAAAATATATAACCTTGAACATATCCCACCTGAATTTAGAGACCACTTTAAGAACAGATGTGATGCATTAGACACTAAAAACTGGAGCCAGAAAGGAGTGGGATGGCATCAAGAACACCATCCATGAAGAAAGCAAAAGGTCATTTAAAAGACGGGAAAAAGGAACAGACCAAAATGGATGTCAGAAGAGACTCTGAAAGTTGCTTGACAGCATATATATAGCTAAAGCAAATGGAAGAAATGAAGGAGTAAAAGAGCTCAACAGAACATTTTGATGAGCAGCTTGAGAAGACAGAGTCAAGTAAAATGAAATGTGCAAAATCTGGAGTTAGAAAACTAAAAAGGAAAAATATACTCAGCATTTCTCAAGCTGAGAGAACTGAAGAAGAAATTCAGGATTCAACTTGAAATATTGAAGGATTGCATGGGCAAAATATTTAATGATGCAGAAAGCATCAAAAGAAGATGGAAGGAATACACAAAATTACCAAAAAGAAATGGCTGCTGTTCCACCATTTCTAGAGGTAGTGTATGATCAAGAACTGATGATACCGAAGGAAGAAGTCCAACCTGCACTAAAGGTATTTGAAATTCATCAAACAATATCATTAATATCACATGTAAGTAAGATTTTGCTGAAGATAATTCAGGGACCTGCCAGAAACTCAAACTGCATTCAGTAGAGAATTTTGAAATAGGGATATCATTGCTGATGTCAGATGGATCTTGGCTGAAATATGTTTACTTATACTTTGTTGCATTAGAGGCAATGATGGTGAGACTTCATCTCTCATACTTATAATATCAGGAGGGACCAGTCCCTAGAGAAGGAATTATGCTTGTTAAAACAGAGGGTCAGTGAAAAAGAGGAAGGCCCTTCAATGAGATTGATTGGCATAGAGTCAGTGGCAATGGACTCAAACATAGCAACAAGTGTGAGGCTGGTGCAGGACCAGGCATTGCGTCATTCTGTTGTGCATAAGGTTGCTATCATTTTGAACCAGCTCAATGGCTCCTAACAACAATAACAATAATGTATGCCCTTTTGAGTGCTGAGACCTACTGTTGTCATTTGGTTACCTCTTGTTCTCCTCCATTGTGAGAGAACCTGACATGGTTCATATTCATTTGCTTTTAGATTCAAAACTGGATGCATCAGCTGAATAAAACCCATTCAGGCCTCATTCAGATGTTCTCTATTGGAAAATCATATGAAGGAAGATCTCTTTTTGTTTTAAAGGTAAGAATAAATATATGTTCGATAAATAAAAAAAGTTTTTTAAACATTTATCATTTTCAACTTTGACTTATGAGGAAAATAATTGAAGTGGTTTTCACAGTCTCATATTTAGCATCATTTGATGTTTAAAGATAGTTTACCCTCAGGTATTTGAGCCATGTTAGTATTTGCCATTGAGTATTTCATAGAATACTGTTACTCCATCCATTGCCAGATTACTTGATGCTCTGAAACCATTTGTGACTTCAAAATTACTCATAAGTTAAGTGCTACTTAACTTGAAACATGCAAAACTATATGAATGTGTTAGAAGCTTTGTACCATATTCTATACCTTGACCCTGTATTATCTTCCAGCTACATTCCTATAACTCTCCATCCCTTCTCAGCTAAACTTCTGAAAACACCCCCCTATATTCTCTGTCTCTGCTTCCTCACTTCCTATTCAGATCTTCAACCGCTTAATTTTGCATGCCCCCCCCACACACACACACACAAAACTCTTGTAAATCTGCTCTTGCCAATGTCAACAATAATTCCGAGTTGTTTCTCTTCCTCCTCTCTCACGCTCTTCTCTCTCTGGTCGTACATTTGGGTCTCAGTTGTTGGCTCCTCTTCCCTTGTACTTTCTTTTTGTTGTATGCTCTGACTCATGGAGACCTTATCTTCAAAGAAATGAAACACTGCCCTGTCCTGTACCATATTCATGACCATCATTCTTCATATATCTTCAAGGCTCATTGTTGTTGCCATTGTGTCAGTCCATCTCACTGAGGGCTTCTCTCTCCTTTTCCCCTTGCTTAGCCGGCCCTCCACTTTACCAGACGTCTTTTCCTTGAGTGGAGGTAACTAATCCCCAGGACTCTATCCTCAATTCTCTTCTCACTCCATGGATCCTGTCTATGGGGTATATTTACCCTATGGTTTCAACAATCATCCCAGTCCTCTGTATCCAGTGGAGTCCACTGTACATCATTTTCTACTTGACATTTTCACAAAAGCTCCTCAGATTCAACATATTCAGCATTCCATGAATACTGTCCATACATGCATATTTACCCTATGGTTTCAACAATCAACCCAGTCCTTTGTATCCAGTGGAGTCCACTGTACATCATTGTCCACTTGACATTCTTACATGAATTTTCACAAAAGTTCCTCAGATTCAATGTATTCAACAGAAATTGTCTTTCTCTCCATAGCCTGATAACTTCCTCTAATCCACCACTATTCTACCAGCTCAGAAACAGAAACATCCTAAATTCTTCTCCTTTATATTAACCTCTACATTAAATCTACCACGAACACTGTTAATTATTTCTTCTAAACATCTTTTGGATCTGTACCAACCTATTGTCCCCACTTCCATAGCCATAATTTATCTCTGCCCTGCCCTCTACTCTCTCATCCCCTAATATTCATACACACATATACACAAGTCTTCCATTGAGATCCAGTAAAAAAGTCTCATCTCTTTTTTGTGGTATTCAGGACTTTATATGTCTTCTGTCTCTGATGAAGCTGCATCTGTCATTTTTTTCTCATACATTTATATTTTAGAAGCAGTTCCTCAAATACTCAGATTCCCTTCTAAGCTTGAAAAATATCTTCCTCCAACTTGTCTTCCAGGCAAGATTCAAGTCTTACTCAAGTAGCCAAGTGTTCTTTCCTGAGATGCCTTCTCTTACTCCACAGGAGGAAAAAACCTTATAACTCCTATGTTCCCTAATTACTCAGGCACATGCATATTATAATGACTGGTTGATTTATTGATTGATTGCATACCTGCCCTCACCACTAGCATATGTTTCTTGTGTTTTCATCTTTGAATCTCTAATGACAAGTACAATATCTAACATTAAAATAATATCTTAACAAATACTGCATCGTCTCACAAACATGAAGAGGCAAATGCACAGTTGCCAAAGTTTATTAGTAATTACCAGAGGATGGGAAGAGGAAGAAATGGGGAGTTATTCCTTAAGGAGTACTGAGTTTCTGATTAGGGGCATGAAAAGCATTTGAAAATGAATAGTGACGATGGTTGAACATGGTGAATATAATTAATGAAACTGAATTTATACTTTAAAATAGCTAAAATGGCAAATGTCGTGTTATAAATAACAAGAAACAAGAAAGGATGGCCACAATAAAAAAGGATATCCTAAAATATTAGGTTAATGAACTAATATATAATAAATGAATAAAAACTTGGCCTCCTGTTGTTTACTGGGTTTGAAACCAGGTTGTAAGCAATATTGATATCATAGGATTTGTAAAGAAAACGCTGTCACTTTAATCTAACAACCTTAGCTTATTATTTTAGATTTCCATTTTGTGCTATGATCAAATTTGACTGTATCATCCTATATAAAACATAGTTCTATCTTTAAGCCATCTCTTCCTTTAGGAGGGAGCAGGGGAAAGATAAATAAATGTTTATTTTAGCTTTTTACTTAACAGTCAGATTATAAAATGGAAAAGCAAGGTTATTTTAAAGATTTCCATTTTCCTTATCTATTTTCTTAGACTTGTAATTAGGGAAATAAATTTTTGTTTCTATATAAACAAGCCTGAAACTCCCCAAGGAGATAGGAAATCTCTTTGTCTTCTTTTATAGGTTACCACCCAATGAACCAAACTATAGATAAGAATTATAACTATACAAATAAACTAAAAGTGTATTGAATTATACTGGTCAGTGAATCCAAAATAAAAGCATGAATAGGTTACTATAAATACTCTTGTTTTCAGCTGGGCAGAAGATCTCGAGCTTACAAAAGAGCTGTTTGGATAGACTGTGGTATTCATGCAAGAGAATGGATCAGTCCTGCCTTTTGTCAATGGTTTATAAAAGAAGTAAGTACAAATGAAACCCTTTACACAGCTACTCAGTGCTTCTCATGTGTTTTTATCTTGCTCAAGAAGGAATGTGAAGCCGGTGATACCTGAGAGAATGATTAACGTCGGGATTATGTGAGCAGCTTTCTTGAGTGTACAAATGTCCCACTATGCCTAGTACAATTCAGTCTCGCTTTTACTTGAGTGATAAGAATGAACAAGCTTGATTAAAAGGAAAGAACCCAAAGAGACTTTATAAATTTGGGACAAATTAAGAACCAACCTTAGCCACTCTTAGACATCAAGGCATAAAAGAAGCTAAAAACCTAGTTTGTGATATTCCATGGCAGTTTTTAATATGGTATTCAGCTCAAAAAGTCTACCTCTCTTAGCATCCCCCTCAAAATTATTTCTCCTATGCTCACAATAAGAAGCTGAGCAAGTGATTTGTGTATTATAAACTCCTGATGGTGGTAGTGGTTATGTGGCATGGAGTCGGTTCTAAACTCCTGATAAGGGTCTGTAATTTAAATGCCAAAGACCTTAGGCATTTATGGATTAATTTTCCTCACATTCAGTTATTTTTCAGTGACCCTAATGGTTGACCTTAATCTCAGAAGCAGGTTGATGAAGGGGCCCTGGTAGCATAGTGGATTACAAGTTGGACTAATAACCGCAAAGTCAGTAGTTCAAATCTACCAGCCTCTATGAGGGAGAAAGATGAGGCTTTCTGTTTCCATCAAGATGTATAGCCTCAGAAACCCTATACAGGGCTGCTGTGAGTTGAAAGTGACTTCATGGCACACAACCACCACCATCAATGGAAAGTAGAAGGATGAATGGAAACTTTGGTACATATGCACAATGGAACACTATGCAACATTGAAGAATCACAAGTTGGACTGATAACTACAAGGTCAGTAGTGCATATCTACCAGCCACTCTGTGAGAGAAAGATGAGGCTTTCTGCTCCCGTAAAGATTTACAGCCTCAGAAACGATAGAGAGGTTCCTGTGAGTCGGACCCAATTTGGAGGCATACAACCACCACCAATGGTTGTTAAACTCAGTTAGTTCTCATTTTCTAGAAGCTGCAGGGGAATCATGAGCCCTCTGAGGTCAGTGTATGGAGTGGATCCCTGTCACCAGTGACCCACCTTCTTAATAAGAGGGTGCTTCAAAAAGTACATGGAAATTTTCCTTTACCTTTTCATTCCATTTTTCCATGAATTTTTTGAAGCCTCCTCATATGTTCTGATATTTCTTTACTGTTTGTCAAAAATACAGTAACTTTTGTAATTTTTCTTTTTCTTTTAACTTTGGCTTCTTAATTTAGAAAAAGAAAGAGAGAAAAGGCCTTGAAAAAAACTTGTAGTACTGGTAATGAAAATGAAGGAGACAAAAGAAGTGAAGATTCATACCCAGAAAAATAATATCAAATTTCTTTAGCCCTGTACTTATAGAAAATCATTGTTGTTGTTGTTAACTGCCATTGAGTCGGTTCCAACCCATAGCAAACCTGTATAGGGTTTCCAAGGAGCGATCGGTCAGCTTGAACCACCAACCTTGCAGTTCAAACCAACTTTACAGCCCAGCATGTTAACTCATAGTGCCACACCAGGACTCCAGAGCATCAGTAGGATATTTGAATATTTCAGCTAGATTGTGCTGTGTTTCATGGAGGAATGACATGTCTAGTGGGATTCGTGATTTTGAGGACTCTGCCAGATCTGGTAAAATATCCTTCATAAATGTTAAAAATGTTTTAAATTTGTCAAATCTGCCTCTCTTCCACTATCAAACCCACTAAATAATCCTTAATTTTTATTAATATTATTTAATAAAATGCAAATTATTCCCACTCAATATATTAAGTAATTCGTTTCCTCTTAAAACACAATTTTATCTCACCATACCAAATGCAAAAGCTAATAAAAATTGGGCAGTGTAGTATAAGCACTGGACTGCTAACCACAGGGTGGGCAGTTCACATCCACCAGCTGCTCCTTGGAAACCCTATACATGCTTGCAGTGAGTCAGAACTGACTCAACAACACTTAGCAACCACAACAATTATGCTATATCTAAGGAACCCTCGTAGTGCAATGATTAAGTACTCTGCTGCTAACCCAAAAGTTGGTGATTCAACCCCATCCAGTGGTTCCATGAAGGAAAGACCTAGCAATCCACTTCAGGAAAGATTAAGTCCAAAACCAAACCCTCTGCCTTCAAGTCAATTCCAACATGTAACAACGCTATGAGACAGAGTAGAACAGCTCCATGGGGCTTCCAAGGTTGAAATCTTTACAAAAGCAGACTGTTACATCTTTTCCCATGAAACAGTTGGTGGGTTCAAACTGTCAACCTTTTTGGTAACAGTCAAGCATTTTAACCACTCCATCACGAGGGCTTCTCCAAAAAGATTACAGCTAAGAAGACTCTAGGGGGCAGTTCTACTCTGACACATGGGGTCATTATGAGTTGGAATAGTCTTGAGGGCACCAGACTGTGAATCACAAGTTCAGCAGTTTGAGTCCGCCAGCTGTTCCGCATGTTAAAGATGAGTCTTTCTGATCCTGGGAAGATTTAAAGCCTCAGAAACCCTATGCAGATTTGCTATAAGATGGAACTGACTAGACAACACTTAACAACAACAAATTAACAATGAATATATAACAATCTATTGTCTTCTATTTCAAGTAGAATATGGTTAAGTACTGAATTTCTATTATTTATAAAATATGGTCCTGTGTTTACTGAAATGAAGACATAAGAGTGTATCACCCACAGAATTGGAGAAAAATATGGAACAAAATGCAAAATAAAAATAAATTTTAAAATGACTGGGTTTACTGGTCAGACAGAGACTTCTAGAACCCCTGGAAATATAGCTTTAGTCATTTTGCCTATTTGGAAATTTCAGAAACAATGTGGAGGCTTTTCTATCCAATGTTTTCTTAAATCCCATCAAGTGGCTAGATGGGACCATACAAATAAGGTGCACAGGACTCTAAGGCTGGGGTTGGTTACTTTTGTCATCCTGCTAGGTTTAAAAGGAGCCATCTCAGAAGCAGGGACATAGGATCCCAGAACCATCAAGAAAAAAGAGCAAGAGCAGAGCATGAGACCCTTACCTGGAAAGCAGTGACAGCATAGGCTGGGGCAGAGATGGCAGCATGGATTGACAAAGTAGCTTTGGGCTTCCCTGACCATGGACTAAGGAAAGCTGTGTGCTGACAGGAAGGAAGTAGGCTTACAGAATGTGCCCTTTGGGCATTCACAGACTGCCTAAAAGAGCTTTGTTAACAGTTGCCCTAGCAGGGCAGAGGACAAGTGACCACATGGCTGAGAAGATGAAGATAAGAGTGAGGCATACTCACAGTACCTCAGAGAAGAGACATTCCTGGCTGGAAAATTGCTTCATACTGAGTTGTTTCTGATCCTGAATCATAACCTGTTCACTTCTCTAGTAAATGCCCTAATTGTAAGCATTGTTATGAGTTCTATGTGGCCATCGCCATGGATTACCAAACACAGATGTGAAGCAGAGTATTGTGGGAGGGATGGTTGGTGTCCAAATAAGGTAAAGAAGTCTGTAGGGTGGAAGCTATAGGTTCTGCACTGGACTAAGAACTGCAAGGTCAGCAGTTCAAATCCACCAGCTATTCCTCAGAAACTCTGCACAGGATTGCTATGAGTCAGAACTAACTTGATGGTACTTAACAACAACAACAACAGGGTGGAGGCATGTTTGACCTTCACTTCACAGAAAACTGCCTTGGACTGGCTTTGAATTTGATTTTCCTTCCCCCTACTGAAGGCAGTAGCGTAGTGGTTATGGATCTGGCTGCGAACCACAAGGTCAGCAGTTCAAAACTACCAGCTGTTCCGCAGGAGAAAGATGAGGCTTTCTGCTCCCGTAAAGATTTACAGCCTTGGAAACTCTATTCAAGGTCACTATGGGTGGGAACTGACTGGATGGCATTTAATACCAGCAACACTGTAGGCAGAGGAAGTCAGGCATGGGCCCCATATGGTTCTTGCAGTAATGAACTCAATTTTGAGGCAAGCAATAGACAGGTCTATAAGGGGAACTATAACACTAGGGGGAGTCCTGGTGTGGCACTGTGTGTTAATGCACCAGACCGCAAAGCCGTTTGAACTGCAAGGTCACCAGCTGCTCCTTGGAAACCCTATACAGGGGTCGCTATGGGTCAGAATCAACTCCATGACACTTAACAACAACAACAACATAACATTAGGGAGGTATGCACACCTTAGAATAATCAACCTTTTGAGAACAAAAGGGCAGCATTTATTCAAGCACAAAATACAAGGGATTAAGAAAGAAGATAGGAATGGAAATAGGAAACACAGGTAGGAAGTAATGTAAGTGACCTTACATTGTGGGGCTTGCAAACAATGACATACAACAAAATATGTATGAGTTGTTGAATGGAAAATTGATCTGCTCTATAAACCTTCACCCAATTCACAATGAGAAGTAAAAAAGGAATATAAAAGGATGTATCACCCAAACACTCTAGCTTTTAAAGTTTTACTTCACCCTCCACATCAGCAACTTCTTTTTAGCACTTAAATTTGTCTTAACTCTTCATGTGGTTATTGTCTGTCTCTTCCTGCACCAACTCTAAAGACAGAGACTCAGTGTGTTGTTCACTCTCAAATCCCTAGCACCTAGTAGGTGTTCCGATATTTGTTCATGAATGGGAATAATGTGAATCCAGTGGTAGTTACCTAGAAAGACTTATTGGTGATAAGTGTAAAACTACCTTATAAGATATAAATGGCACCATCTGGATTTTTGCAGTACATGACAAGTACAATCATACAGAGCAGTCCTACAACCTGATCTAAATTTCTCAGGAAGAGAAAGACACATAGCCATAGGGTAAAGAAGAGGTATATACAATGGCTACCAACAGAGGTTAGCTGAGCTTGGAGCAAAAGCAATTAAAATCAAGCTCCATTTACCCAAAGATGAGTGTGGAAAGGTTC